GGACCATAGGTTCAAGCTTACAACCACAGCCGTTGGCTATGATTGTGCTGGGAGGGCCCTGCCCTCCAGCTGGGACTTGCACGTGGCAATGAGAGGACCCTGTCCTTTCATTAGTCGGAGGCTTGAACCTGGCCAAAACACTGCAGCCGCGCCCCCACACCAAGAAGTGATAGATCTTCCAAATCCTTACACTAGATCCTGAGAGTTCTTGGTCACCCATGCTGTGGAATGGGGCATATTTTCAGCACACCCTGCTTCCCATGCAAGCTAGCGGCCAGCTCTCTGTGATTCTGATATAAAGGCATCAGTCAGACTACAGATCCTAGCAGATGGAAGTTAACCCGTGTTAACTTGAGGGACATGCATGAGGTGCTTACAGCTTCTTTACACCAAGCAAACAATGTGATAAGAAGGGCATGTGCAGAAGACATAGGAAGGAGTCAATATTGAAGTTCACTTGTGAAAGATGAATACTGGTGAAAAGAATTAAGGAGGGATTGGAAACTGTCTAGAGAAAGGTAATTGTATGAATAAAAGTGTAGACAAATGAGAGTATGTGACATGTCCTAATTACAGTCAGTAAGATGTGCCATATCCAAACATTTCTCTATACCGTGTTGTAGAAGGTGATGGGGACCACTGGAGATTCTGAGGTGTGACATCATGAGATTTTTATTATATAAACACTAGAGGCCAGGTGCATGAAATTTGTGCACCGGTAGGGTCCCTAGGCCTGGCCGGCAATCAGGGCTGATCTGTGGGGCACCGGCGGGGCGATCAGGGGATCCCCACTTGCACCCGCCTAGGCCAGCCTGGCGCCGCCTGCTTGCCGGCCCCACTCCCCACCACCGGTCATCTCCCTGTGCGGGGAGACTGGCGAGGTGATTGGGGGGTCCCCACTGGCACCCACTTTGGCTGGCCTGAGACCTGTGGGCTGGAGGAAGCTCCTGCATTGAGCGTCTGCCTCCTGGTGGTCAGTGTGCATCATACCGACTGGTCGTTCTTCCATTCAGCCAATTTGCATATTAGGCTTTTATTATATAGGATTGCTCCTGAGTAGATTATAATGGAAGCTTCCAAATCCAAAAAGCTGAATTAGAAGGCATTTGTAATGGCCAAGACATATGAGACTTGAATTAATATAAATGTCTTAATTATGATAATTAAATTACATTACAGTTGTCACTCTAGACTGCTATTGATGAAAACTGGAAAATTTAGTTATATCTACCAACTATTCAGATAAAATAATAAACAAGTATTGAAATCATTTAGGAAAACTATCTTTCTAATCTCAATTGACTAAGTATTGGAGAGATAAACCCTTATAGAATATGTAA